ACTTTTCGAAATTCTGGTTGAGTTGCTTCAAGTCAAGGAATTTCATGCAAATTCTCGGGCGTAAATCCCCGATAAACGGGCGTAAATCCCCGATAAACGGGCGTAAATCCCCGTGGGCTGTTTCCGGGGACCTCTAACATCACCCTAACTCCAAGAAATTCGGTCGTCTTTTCCCCTAGGAGGGTTTCTGCTCACCCCACGCACCTACCTGCTTGATGCAAATTCATGAGATCTATCCATGAGACTTGGTTCCTCTCGGGTTGTTTTTGCAAAAAGTTTGTTTTGGATCAGGCTGCTGCAGTGTGATCCAGTGGCCATTAATTTGTTTTCCAATGCCACTTTGGAAGATGGATTAGGGCTGTAGGGTCATGCAATTCAATGTTTATGGTTTGGGGCTTGGGCTTTAAAGTTAAGGGTTAGAGGGCTTATAGACTTGTAGGTTTAGGGTTTCAGACTTACAGTTTAGGACCAATGGGATTTAAGGTTTATGCAGTTTTACTTGTTATGCTGACCGTTGAGGCGCAGGTTCCCACCTTCGAAGTTGAAAGTTCCAGTTGTTTTGTGGTATGTATTCAGTCGTTGTTTTGGCAAGACATTAATTCTGCAATGTAGAATGCTAGCCGACACCTCGGGCAGAATTCCTTTTGAGGCTTTTGCAAGGTTTTAGCTCGGGCTGAAATTCCTGCCTCAGGCTGAAATCCTTCTCTCGGGCTTTTTTATGGACTGAATAGCCTCGGGCTGAAATAAAAGACTGACAGGGATCTAGGTATGGGGGTAATCTGAGGATAATGGAAAATAAAACGGAAACTACTACTTAGGATTTAGGTTTTAGGGTTTACGGGGTCAAGGACTGCCATGTTTGCTTAGCAGTCACAGGGGGTAGTACGCATGCCCCACAGATGCCGCATGCCCCATAAATGCACGTATTTTTGCAGCTTTAAACTCACGCTTGGATGCAATTGGCAAGCAAGCTCAACAAGCTTCTGCTTAACCCGCTTGTGGTCCCCGTCTGGCGGATGTGCGCAGAGTACTATCCGCTTCCGTGCCCAAAATCGAGGACAAGGAGCCGCCATGTACGGACCCCGAAATTCAAAAACAAGAACATGAGTTTAGTGCAAAAATGTGGTGTCTCAGGAAGGATTATTCGTATGCCTTTGAAGTAGGTTTGAAAGCCAGTAATATTAAGTAGTTCAAGGATCACTCGGGAATATTGTTGGCGATGCTGTAGGTTTGGGTATCCAGAGTGTTGTCAAGGAGTCCGTATATGGCCCCTGCACGATCCCCATGCCTGGTTTCAGAGTGAAACGAACATCATCTAGCACATCGCGGACCATTAATAGCAATAATTACATCAGTAACAAGGGTCAGAAGAGGCATAATAGCCATAATGTATACCAGCATGCCATACAGTTTATACCAACAGAGCAAAAAAAACGCCACCTCGTTGTGCTCTCTGCCGGGGCGGGATTGGTGGGAACAGGCGACCAGGAAGCACCATCCTTCATCAGCCCAATCACTTTTGAGAAAATATCCAGATGTAATAAGCATGTTCAGGGAGTTTTATCAAGATACCTTGCCAAGTATGCACAACTTGCATTGGATAGTGCTTGTAATATTGTCATTAAGAATTTCTATTGGTAGTAGTAGCTAGCAGCTAGTAGCTTCTGAGAGCAGCATTGATACAAAAGGGGACTGCGAATCCACCTGGTCAGCTGAGTGTGACTCTTTCCTACTTATGCCAAGTAGGGATCATACACATGACCAAGAGTCATCCTCACGTCCTGTTGCAGCTCCTAAAATTCTGATAGGAACTCATACTCACACTTCCGAAGTCGGCCGACTGCATGAAGCTGATTCTACTTCGGGGTCTGACTCCTTTGTCTTGCTTCACATATGAGCACCAAGCATCAACTAAACCCAAACACTTGACATCCGTACCTTCGGAGCTCAAACAAATGTAACTGACTTCATTGGATGAAAGCTGGAGACTATTAGTACAAACCATAACGTCTATTCTAGACCTGCTCCAAAAATGCTTCCAACAATGACACTCTAAATTTCATTTTAGGTCCTGCAGGGGCACTGCCGCCTCCACGGTGGGTACCACGCTGGAACCTGGCACGCCCCACCACAGGCCAGCAGACTCCGAAAAAATGGATTCTGACAGAAGTCTCGCAGGGGGATATTCATCAAGCCATACTCAACGTTCAGCCCAGCACATCCCACTCCTATGCCCTCTTTTCCACATTGAAACCCACAACCCCGGCCATGCCCTCATCGGCAACATATGTCACAAACAGTCACCGGAAATGTTCGGCTGCGGCCCATGCAGAGTTGTATGACCCCCAACCTGAAACCTATCTCAAGCCTCATTCAGATTGTCGGGGCTCCTGGGAAATCCAGGCCACCGAGCCCCAAGCATTAAACCTGCCACGGAACTCAAAAATCACATTACACTGAAGTCGCTACACTCAACACCCCAGCCCAATTGAATCCAGAACCCTGAAAGGCGTTGGATGAACATGTCTCTGTATCGCTCCGCCGCACACACCCCAACAGTAGAAATACTAAGACCGAGATTACGAGGACCTTGGAACTGTTGTGGCCTGCAGATGTTGACCAACACCCTTGCAAGAGTAAAATAAAGGGATGTGTAGGGTGCACTCTTTCAAGCTCAACGTATGAGTCAGGCAAGCTGCTGGCTTGGGGCTGTACGTTTTGAATCGTGTTAGGGGGCGTGAGGTAGGAGTCATGAAATAGTAGCAGCGCCAAGAACAGTGCAGGATGTTATCATACAGGGGAAGCTGTCCAACTACAATACCCCTTGGAGCCACCCAAGTTCGGAGTGCCATATTCAAAGCACAAGTAATGCCCGGCGGAGATTGGCAACGACTCCTTCATAGTCTCTCATACCTTTGTCTGACGAATTGTGCAAACTGGATTGGCTCTAGTATATTCCTTCACGTTCTCCGGTTTCTATCGGGCGAGCACCTCTTGTCCCTCATGTCACTCTCCGGAGATGCTAAGCTAGGAATCGCTCCCAAAGGGGATCTGGGGACTGAGGTTGCTGTGTACGCGTTTAATGTTGCCAGGACTGTTGAGTAGCATCGGACCTGAGCTTCCCAAGTCGCACTTGGGAAGTCAAACTAGTAGGTGAACAGGAGTTTATTATGTTGGGGTTATATTGGGATGATGGAAAATAAAATGGAAATTGCTATAGTATATTGGGGTTATATTAGGATAATGGAAAACAAAATGGAAGCTACCATAGTATATTGTGGCTATATTGGGCTAATATTGGGATAATGGAAAATAAAATGGAAACTACTATAGTATATTGGGGTCATATTAGGGTTTAATAGAGAGGCTTTACTACGTAGGCATGGAACCACCACCAGCCCGCTTTTCAGCGGCTAGACGCCGATCCCTGAATGTAAGGGCTGGATACTAATGCTGACATCTCACACACCAAGCCATGTCCCCCAGCCTGTCTGAACCAATTCCCGCACGAACTCCTCCTGGAAGCTTGATGCTGTGCTGCCTCCAGCAACAGGCAAACCAAATGAATTTCACCATGGTATCAGGCAAAGGGGTATTCCACCAAATACCACAGATTCCGCAGGACATTTGAAATAAACAAATGGGAAATCATACGGTCAAAAGAAGCCAACAGCCACACAGCCCGTACAACTGCAACATCACCTTTCCTGTCAATGCGGACAAGGTAGTTGCTTCTAGCCGTGCAGGGCCCAACCTGCATACCACTTAAGGCAAAGAGCTCAGAGGACAGCTTGGATGAGGCGGGGGCTTATACAGCCTAAATCTTGAACGAACTCGCTTTTTTGAAATAATCCCAAACGTACTCCGTTTAAAACGCCCAACAGTTCGGCAAATAATTTGTGCAGCCCAGTCTCTTGAGGGCAGACCCAGCTGGCCTATTCTCTGAGCAACAGCTGTGCGCTGCGCCTGCCAAGCTTTTGCTGGGACTTTAGGGGGGGTCAGGGATGTTAGACAGGAATGGAACAACGCACGGAAAATCACATCGAAACTGGGTGTTTATAGTGAGTCAGGGGCGGAGGGGCATAGTTGTGAGCCACTCACAGTTTGCTCTTGTGACAACTATAACAAGCCAGATGAGTCTGCCGCTTTTGCATCGGGTGCTTATGCAGGTCAACAATGAAAGCACCATGAATATGGGGAGAAAGGCTCCAAAAAAACAAGCATCATCACATGTTGAGTCGCGCCCCTATATGGATCATGTGAAGTCTGAAAGCAAACTGAGGTCCAAAATCAGACCCAACATCCCTGCCTTAAACCCTCAACCTCGAACCCCAAAATTAAACTCTCAAAGCTTCAAACCTTTCTGGGAGACCATCCCTGCCACTTCCTGCAGATTAGATGAAATATCTTCATGACTGGTTATAGAAGCTACGGTATGCCTCCAAAACATAATCAGCCTTACATGCCCAAAATTAAAAACCTTCGATCCGGCCTGACTAGGAGAGGTGACTTGAAAGCGCACACGCACCGCCCACCGCCCAGAGAGACGGCGCCCGGTGCCCGCACCTTCCCAGGTTTGGCTAGACTCCGTCAAGCTGTGGAGTCTGCTTAGCAAACTCAGGCGCTACGTGCTTGCAACTCTCAGCACGTTAGTCGTGGGATGCCGCTTGCCGTTTTTCAGTTAGCTTTTGAAGTCTCAGAACGCGCCCGTGCCTTGATAGTACACCTCCATGCCCAGAATGGTGAGTTCGTCGCTTGCGCCGAGCCTAAGCTAGCAAGGTGGTCTCGCAAAAGGGAAGAGCAAGGCTTGCAGGTTTAGTGCTTCAGGACGAACTTGGGTATGCATTTCACGAAGCTGTACGGAATTGTAGCACCTGTCAGCTTGCAACAACCAGGAAGAGCACACCAACTGCCACTATACTTGTCTTGCTAAGCTACGAGTCTGAGGGCATACCTAGGTTCTTTAGGCACAGGGAACACTTGAATTCAAACTGAGTTGCCCCAACGCAAGCCTCAGGGCAGAAACCAGTGCATTGGCCGCAGTAGGGAAGATTAAGGCTTCAGCATCTTCTCTTGAAGAAGTGCTGAGGGAAAGCTCCGTTCGCACTGGGCCCGATGGCGTGTAGTCACTGAGCCACGGCGGCACTGTGGGGGGTTGAGTGGTTGGAGCTTCTGTTGTGGTGCTCGTTGTTCGTGGTGTTGTGGGTGGTGCCGGAGTGGCTGAAGTTGTGTAGATGAGCGGAGGCCGCGTGGTTGGAGGCGCTGTCTGACCTCCTCCACCCTGCGTCGTGGCAGGTGGCCTTGTCCAATAATCGACCTGAGCACTGCTTCTAACCTTATGTCATAAAGCAATTATGTCAAACACCCTTCATGAAAAAGACCTGAAAATGTGTGTTCCCATAGCTCCACCCAGCGACTGGTTGAGTGGTTGGCGGTGCTGCCGTTGTCGGGGCACGTGTGGTGGGAGGTAGAGTTGGCAGTTGGGTTGTTGGAGTGGGAGTGCTGGATGTCGACTGTGTGGACTGGCCTGGAACCCAAATCTTGAAGTCGCTGGTGATAGCGTTGCCCCAGGGATCCATCACGAGACATCTGGCAGTGTATTCCTTTGCAGGCCGCAGTTGCCCGAACGTCAGGTACACTGGGTACTCGTTCGACCAGCTCTTCTGGGAACATCTGGGGTACATACAGCCATCACCTCAGCAGCTGGAGAAATGCAAAAGCAACCATGAGGGCCCCGCAAGGGGCACCACATGTGCGGTCAAATTAGTCTGGTCCCATTTTGGGGATGCTACACACTCACAAAACCCATGTAACATCCAAGTACATGTCATGTGTAAACCCGCTCCGAAGGTGCTCGAGGACCCATGACTTTGAAACACTTCCTGCGGCCATCCGGCTGTGGCTGGGTGATTGGATAAGCCAAGCCAAATCCTCCTCGACGATATGGCAGCGCACCTTTGCAGCTACTTGGGGCATGCAGGCATTGAGGTTGGGGCTTGGGTTTAGGATTGGGGGACGAGGTGGCTGCACGCCTCAGCAATTCATGAGTGGAACTTGCGCCGCGGGGGGGGGGGGGGGGG